GTTGGTGGCGTGTAGAGAGAGGGAGAGAGAGGGAGAGAGCGGGAGAGAGGGGGGAGGGGGCGGGCCTATAACCGAGCTGAGGCTAGCGGGCAGCGGGGCCGGCAGCAGTCCTCGACGCGAACAAAACTATTAATTCAATTACGATGCAAATGTCGGCTACTTCGCGCCTTCCCTCCCTGCGCTGCTGGAGCCGAGGCTGGGCACAGGGCGGGCGAAGGTGCCGCGGTAGCCGAGCGCGGCGGGGCGGGGCGGAGCTGGTCAGGGCGTAGGCCTCAGCGCGGCGGCGGGGCGGTGCGGCCTAAGAGCTGAGTGTCATAAACATTCTGCGATCACTGCTGCTCTTCTCGTTTAATTGTAATATTAATTTTATGGGATAAGGGATTTCATCTTTCAGAAAGTAAGTCTGTTTTCATCAGAATCTTTTGGCAAATTTCCGGGTGCTCTACGCCTGTGAGACTCGAGGTAGGCCACCCCCGTAGTACACGCACGCACTCCAGACAAGATGATTCCTACTCATCAGGCGCCATGAGATCTTGCTTGGTCTGAAACTTATTTTGTCTGAAACGTATTTTCTGGATGAACCCTAAAGTCGCAGGGACCACTGAGTAAAACCGAATTAATACCGTGCTGAAAAAATGGGGGCCTTGGTTTCTGTTCCACGACCGTGACTATGTGGGACGGTGCACCTTGCGGTGTACTTGAGCCGGCTGCCGAGCGCAGCAGCACGCGCCGTACCGTAGGATTAAGTCATCGCACTTCTTTTTCTAACACTGTGGGGAAGGGCGCTGATGTGGCCGAAAATGGGGGCAGCCCGAGGAGGGGCTGAAGCGTGGGGCGGCAGAGGGGTGGGGAGGAGGGAGAGAGGTGGTTGGAAAGCGGACGAGAGGTGGCGGAGAGGCGGAGGGGGGGAGTTCCTCGGTTATCGGTGCCTCCTTTCCAACGAGGTGCTCATATTTCAGTTTCGCTGTGGCTGCTCTCGATCTCAGGACAACGCTCTTGGTGGAGGCCGGGCAGTAGAGG